AGGGTGGGGTACAAATCAAATAAATAAATTAAATAATAAATAAGTTTCTGTAACAGACTCTCTCCTGCTTGTACTTTTAAACAATATTTCAATAGGTTTAGGAAACAAGAAACATCCTGTGCACCTCCTTGTACCACATGGAGCATTTCAGATAAAAACTCCACCAGCACTAAATCACAACGACCTGCTCTCTTGGTTCAGTGGATGCAATGAAGGGAAAATTGAAGGAATTGTATGGCATTGCAACAATGGATATTTAATCAAGGTAATTTTGAGACCTTGTTAAGTAGTCAGCTTTTGATTTATTCACAACTGTTTCAAGTGCAATACCCCAACAGGCCAAGTGGTTTATTAAAAACGACAACTGAGTTTTCTGTTTTTCTTTTCCTAAAATGAGATATTTGCTAAATTGCTTAGAAGAATACACTAAGTGTACAAACTATGCAGTAGAGAAGTTTGAATTTCTCATTTTGTTCTACAAATTCTTTTTGGAATAAAATCATTTAAAATGGTGTATGCTCGAGTAGGAAATGGGTGATTTTGTTCTGGCTATATAATTTAGTACTTAATGCTGATAAGTTAATAGTGTTTTTCTTCTCTTTATAGCTCCATCGACATCATCTTGGCTTGACCTGGCCAATTGGGGACCCTCATTTGACTTCTCAACCAGTTGTTGTCACTTTCAGTGGGGCCAAATATGACTATAATTTTGAATCAAAGACACTTTTTAATTACTTTTCAAAGGTGGATGGTCAAAGATTCAATAGTCTCAGAGATATAGTGTGGGATCTATGACAAGATTTCTTTTTGTAAAAATAGCAATTTTTATGACTGTCCCATGTATTTGGAACTGAAGTGTCAGATTGTGTCCAGATGTAAATAGTATTTAATGTCTTCAAACCCTCATGTAAATATAACAAATATTACTGTTCATACAGAAGAAGAGCCATAAAGGAAAATCTAAACTATGTCTCTTGAACATCTTTAACAGTCTCAAACAGTTAAGCATCTGAGACACTTTATTAAAGCAGCAAGAAGCAGGTACATGGAGTGCCATGTTTTTTAATTGCTGTACAGTTATTTTCAATAATTGCTGTAGTATATTGATCAATATGTATAGGTATATTTATTATAGAAAGATAACATTTGACATCGATAGCACTGGAGTTTTCTTCTCATTTTGTAACTTAAAATGATCAAACAGCTGTTTACTAGACTGCTTTGATGCCTGAATCTCCCTAGAACTGAGTAGGGTTTATACTAGCCAAGGCTTTTGAGGGCAGGAGTATTATTTTGGACTTAAGTCAGTATTACTGTGTACCCTTAAGGGCAGCTTCTTGTGCCAAATGTTGTACTCTGTCAAATATTAGAACCCAAAACACTTGGGTAGTACATCTATTGGGATAGGTACATATGTAGCAGTTGGCGTTCCTGTATATTTTGCATGAAAAGGAATGATTTGGGAAGGACAGTGTCCTTTACTTTGTAGTTTAAAGGAGAGTGTATGGTTGTAGATACAAACTTATACAACTGAGGCAGTATCCATAGGTTGGTGATCCTCTGATTCTGTTAGCAGTGCTCCACTAGCGAATGTTTTACCGTTGGTGGAGCCCAATTGTAGGATCCACTGCCTGAGGTTATTAGAATACAACACGTAATTTAAGACCCTAAGGTGTAACATTTTACAATATTCACTTCAGATATTCTGCATTTCTCTAGAAGCATGTTTGCTTTAACACAGGATACAACTTGCTTATATAATTTAATACTTTCTCTCTGGGGGAGTGTTTCACTAATCTTGGGCTAATGCAACTAAAATGTGGTCTTAATCACAAATTCCAAAAACAATGAAGTAAAGTTCTTTGGTAATTTTAAAAAAAATCAAAACTTTATAATAATGTAGCTGATTAGCCTCAATTTTAAATATTTGAGGCTAGACAAATAAGCATTCACCTACTGCTTGCATAACATGTTAATGATGAGCATTTAAAATGTTAAACTATATTATGTGCAATACAATGATGGAATATCTATAAACATATAATAAAATAATTTAGCAACAATAAGAACTAACAGGTTCTCAGATTTAAAATAGTACAAATCTTTTATTTAGTTTTTTCCCCCCACCTGAAAACAAGAAGTGGCTCACATTCATCACAGAGATAGTTCCTTACTCAAGAGCTGAAGGAGGTGTAGTAGAGGCTCACAGTGGGAATAAGCTTCACATTTTTGTCACTCATAAGAAAATGTCTGACTTGACTCCTTATGAGTGAGTTTTTGTGCTCTTTGAGTTCTGAGCCAAGATGCATCTTCAATCAGACAGCATTTCCTGGCTACTTCAGGTAGATACCTACCTTTCTGATTTACTCAGTAGAAACTCTGGCTGGAATGTCTATTTGAACACCAAACTGTTCAGAAAGAGTTTTCAGTTTTTCTTCCAGAATGATATTTTTTTTAACTTCTTCATTGTAGTTATATTTTAAATCCTCAATTTCTTCAAAAAAAGATGGGTCAAAATTATCCAATTCATTTTTTAGCTTCCTGATTTCTTCCTAATGAGGAAAAGGCACCATTTTTACCCATTAAGTCAACAATTTAATCTCAAAGTATATGGAATATTCATGTTCTCTTTTTATGTCTATTTAAAAGGAAGGCCATAAACATAATGAATATAATCCACCCAAAGTTTAAGTACTTTAAAGTTCCATTGTTTTCAGTGGAGAATTTAAGAATATATTCATCTCCTCCCACTGAAATACATGTGACCTAAAAGTACTTAAATGTGGCTGGTGTGTGGGCAAAGAGCACAGATAGAAATTACCTTTCTGTGTAAGTCTGGCATATCCTCCTCTTCCTGGTTTTGATGGCCCTTGGTGCCCTTTTGGGTTCTTATGACAAACTGATTTGCTGTCCAGACTCAGTGTTTAATGCCTCAATTTTGTTTTTAACAAATCAGACTTTTGTGCAAGCCTGGGATTTCCCCTCGGCTCGCAGAACTGTGAAATTGTAGCTGAGCCTGGGCCTGTTTCCCAGATATTTTTGATCTGCTTAGGAGTCAGCCTTGGCAATTAGATACAAGGACGTTACAATACTAACCTTAAGGCACTGCTGCTCCAAATCTGAGGATTTTAGCTGCATCTTGAGGTCTGCTACTTCAGATTTTAATGTGTAATTTTCATCTTTCTCTGGATATTAAAAGAGAAGGTTTTAAGCACAAAGAGCAAACATACACGTAGATTAAGAAATCTCATTATTTTTTCAATAAAGAATCAACTGAGTCATGCAATGTGCTTTTTATTCAAGGCTGTAAGTAATCCAGGAATAGGATGTGTGGGTTAAACATAGCTGCATGAGGAAAATACAGCCAATTTACACAAATAATGGAGATAAATTCTGGACTGCAATGCCAGAATGCATTACTGCACAGCCTTCTAAGTGTCCTATGATAACTGTTATTGCTGTTAACTGTTTGACCTGTTTATGTCTCGCAGTCAGATGTTTTAGCAGAAATCTAAGCTGAAAGTCTTTATCTAGAATAGGATCACAAACTGAACAATCAAAGGTATCAGTGCATTTCAGTATTCAACTTAGTTAAGTTTCCACTCTTTTCATTGTCTCTGAGATATTTCATTGCCAATCTGATGATCTTCAGTAAGTGCAAAGTATCCAATACAAGTACAATAAAGGGAACAAATCTCACTGGACCATCCAGTTGTTTAAAATCTTCCAAAACTCTTCTTCAAGCATTAGTTTTCTCAGGAAAAAGTGAGATTTATCAAAGTTCGGGCATGGGAGAAGTGCCTCACCCAGTTTGCTTAGTAGTGAAAGTCGGTTACTGAGTTCAGTGGCAAGTAAGAACTTAACTTCTCTCTTATGTCAAATACCCATACATGAAACAACTGTAAGATTCGATCTATCCGATGAAATAATTAAAGTGTTACCAGCAGCAAAGCTATTGCCTTTCTTAATCTCAGTTTGATTCTGGTAAACCTCCAGCTGGTGAGCTAGTTCTGCCTTTTCCTTTTCCAAGCGATTATTGGTTAACCTGCAATGTCATAAAACAGACCACAGGTCACCCCCTAGATATTTTTCAAATCAGGTCTGGGTAAGAAACAAACTTACATTTTTTGTGCCTTACCTGAGAAGCTGAAGTTCTCTGACAAGTCCTTGTTCTGTTTCAACACCCTCAGGAAAGTGTTTGAGAAGCTCAATCTACATAAAAAGCATAGTTCAGTGTTATTATTTATACTGTACTAAGACTATACACTGTAACTTGTTAGAAGGGAGATATTTCCCATGACTGACTTCAGGCAGCTTTAATGACAGTAGCCAATCATGAATACACGTGAAGCTGCCTTATATTGAACCAGACTCCTTGGTCCATCAAAGCCAGTATTGTCTACTCAAACTGGCAGTGGCTTTCCAGGATTTCAGGCAGAGGTCTTTCACATCACCGGCTGCCATATCTTTTTATCTGGAGATGCCAGAGATTGAACCTAGGCTCTTCTGAATGCCAAGCAGATGCTCTACAATTGAACCATAGGCCTTGCCCAAACAAAACTGGATGTCCACTCCTGTGGTTAGCAAACATTTCTTAACAGTGGCAGCCATCAATATACAGTCAAAAGTCTATGATGAAAAGAAACAACACGTGGAAGCTATGAAACAATTTCCCCTTAGGATTGTACCTGAGCTTTATATACTTTATAACCTTGGTCCCCTTGTCATATACTTACCTTCATTTTATTAACACTTTATGGGAGATCCTGAATCCTGTTAAATAAAGCTTAAGTTTCCACTGGGAATTATTACCAGCATCTAGGAGAGCCTACATTCAACTGTCAATAGAGTAAGAGAGGGATTGTGGTACTCCCTCTCTTGGTTATAGTTCATGAAGCTAAACACCTGAACACTTATGGCTATAAGATTATACTTGAACAAGTGAGGAACCTGCATGCATCCAAGAGTTCTGAAAGGACTCAAATGTGAACTTGGGGATCTCCTGACAAACATATGCAATATTTCATTAAAATCTGCCTCCATTCCTGAGGACTGGAAGGCAGCTAATTTCACTCCCATCTTTAAAAAGGGTACTAGAGAAGATCCGGGAAATTACATGCCATACATTCTGACGTCAATACCGGGAAAGTTGGTGGAAACTGTTATTAAGGAAAGAATCAGTAGGCACATTGATGAACAAAAACTATTGAGGAAGACTCAGCATGGGTCCTGTAAGGGAAGATCTTGTCTCACTAACCTGTTAGTGTTCTTTGAGGGGGTGAACAAACATGTGGACAAGGGGGACCCAACAGATGTTGTTTACCTTGACTTCCACAAAGCTTTTGATAAAGTTCCTCATCAAAGGCTCAATAGTCACGGGAGAAAAGGACAAGTCCTTTTGTGGATCAAAAACTGGCTAATTAATAGGAAACAGAGTAAATATAAATGGGCAAATTTCTCAGTGGAGGATGGTAAGCAGTGGGATACTGCAGGGATCAGTACTGGGTCTGATGCTGCTTGTTCATTAATGATTTGGAGTTGGGAGTAAGCGGTGAAGTGGCTAAATTTGCAGATGACACAAAATTGTTCAGGGTGGTGTGAACCAGGGAGGATTGTGAGGCACTCCAAAGGGATCTGTCGAGGATGGATGGGTGAGTGGGTATCAATGTGGCAAATGGGGTTCAATGTGACCAAGTACAAAGTGATGTACATTGGGGCCAAAAATCCTAACTATAAATACGCATTGATGGGGTCTGAACTGGCGGAGACTGAGAGAGATCTTGAGTTGTAGTAGAAAACTCTCTGAAAATGTCGAGACAGTGTGTGACTACAGTAAAAAAGGTCAATGCTATGCTGGGGATTATTAGGAAGGGAATTGAAAACAAATCAGCCAGTATCATAATGCCTTTGTATAAATTGATGGTGCAACCTCATTTGGAATACTGTGTACAGTTTTGGTCACCACACATCAAAAAGGATATTATAGCATTGGAAAAAATACAGAAAAGGGCAACTAGAATGATCAAAGGGTTCGAAGATTATGCATGGGATAGAGCAGGTAGAGAAGTATTTTTCTCCCTTTCTCACAATACAAGAACTCGTGGGCACTCAATGAAATTGCTGAGCAGTCAGGTTAGAACAGATAAAAGGAAGTACTTCTTCACCCAAAGAGTGATTAACACATGGAATTCACTACCGCAGGAGGTGGTGGCAGCTGCTGCAAGCATGGACAGCTTCAAGAGGGAATTGGATAAACATGGAGCAGAGGTCCATCAGTGGCCACAAGGCCGAGTGCTGAAGAATAGATTCTTTTGAATTATGGTGCTGGAGAAGACTCTTGAGAGTCCCTTGGACTGCAAGGAGATCAAATCAGTCAATCCTAAAAGAAATCAACCCTAATTGTTGTTCATATACTTTGGCCATCAAATGAGAAGGTAGCACTCACTGGAGAAGACCCTGATGCTGAGAAAGATTGAAGGTCAAAGAAGAAGGGTGAGATGGTTAGACAGTGTGTCATGATCTGGCCTGTGCCAGTACGGCCTAGCCAGCCTAAGAGGCCTGGGTGGCAGTAGGAGACAGGTAGGCCTACAACTCCCAGAAGGCATTGGGAGAGGCAGAGAGAAGATTCTAAAGAGACCGTTGGAGTCGGTTGGGAAGACAGTCTGAGAGGAGACTGTGATAGTCTGGTGGGAGAAGGAATCTGAGCTGTTCGCTGAGGGAAAAGGGTGTCTTTCGTCTCTCTCTGCGGCCTGATCTTAGTGAGAAGATAGGCTGGACTGGGAAGAGGAAGATCCCTCCGTCCTTCGTCTCTCTGCAACCTGATCTCAGTGAGAAGACAGGTTGGTCTGCGAGGAAAGGATCCCTCAGCGTGAGTGTTAGGCAGGCTGGGGGCCTGGAAGTAAAACAGTTAGGAGTAACAGGTAGCTGCGTTAGTTTATGTTTATTTTTCCTTTCACACTGTTATCCCCTTTTTAAGCACCTTGCCGTGTCTTGTTTTTCCCTGCCCCACTGTTGTTTTAATAAACCCTTTTTGTGTAATTATTTTCTCTGCCTGGGTCAATCACGCCTGTATTGCTCGGCTGAAAAGGGGCTTGGGAAGGTACCCTGGGCCTCCCAAGGGACCATAAATCCAGGGTGGTGGCGGCGGAACCCAAAGACCCCTCTGGGGTCATGACACAGTGTTATCGATGCAACGAACATAAAATTAAGCAAACTCCGGAGCACGACGGAAGACAGGAGGGCCTGGCGTGATGTGGTCCATGGGGTCGCGAAGAGTCGGACTCGACTGTGCGACTGAACAACAACTTAGATAAGAACTATCAGTCTGGGGCAAGTGATGCACTGTATTCTTGGTGCTTGGGGGGAGCAAGTGGGAGAGCTTCTAGTGTCCTGGCCCCACTGCTGGACCTCCTGATGGGACCTGGTATTTTTGGCCACTGTGTGACAGAGTGTTGGACTGGATGGGCCATTGGCCTGATCCAACATTGGCTTCTCTTATGTTCTTAAGGACTTCTGGGGATCAGTTTCCCCCTGTATGCCCTTTCCCACACTGTTTCCTTTTTCTCTCTTCTTGATAGCCACCATATCCTCTTTCATTTCCCTGCTTCCTTCCATTTCCCACTCACCAACCAACCAACCTTCCCCCCCATTCTACAGTTTTTAAAATGTATTCATTTATCACCCCACTTTTCTCCTCAATGGAGAAAGCATCTTACATCATTCTCCTCTCCATTTTATCCTCACAGCCTTCCTGTTGTGGTTAGGTTGAGGAGGAGGTTAGGTTGAGGAGGAGGTTAGGTTGAGGTTGACTGGCCCAAGATCATACAACAAGCACAGTGGGGATCTGAACCTGGATCTGGAGTCCTCCCCTCCCCGCTTTTCTTCAGAAAGCTTTAGAATATGGAGTCTTTGATTGAGGAAAAGCTCTGCTGGAAGCAGCCTATTGAGAACTGTGCCTAAACAAGGCTTGTTTTGTCTCCCACAAACCCAGTGGGACCAGAATCTGGTGCTAACTCAAGTAAAGACCACTCCTTGAGATGGGGAAAATCCCAGTGTTTAAGGCATTCTAACAAAGGAGCATTGTGCATTAGAAATCTGCGAATAATATACACTTAGTAAATGGTTAGAAAAAGAACGTTTTACTCACTTGTGCTTTTAAGTCTTGGATATATTTTTCAGTTTTTTCTTCATGATCTGTTGCTTTCCGCAGTGTATTTTTAAGTTCACTAATGGTTTGATTTTTTTTGGCAATATCAGCATCCATTTCTTTCATCTTATTTTCATACATCCTGAAAGATTAAGGTCCATTCAACCAATAATGATTCCAGACTTAAAATCTTAAACTGCAATGCTAGACAAGTACTACAAAAACCAATACAGTAACAGAATCTTTTAAACCCTAAGATAAGTTTAAAAAATAAGACATAGGTCTACAATTGACACAGTGCATACCTCCTGTCAGAAATCCATTTGTGATAGAAACTGAATGCACTAGCAATCGTATCTATTTTTCTGGGAAAATACACAACAAAAAGACCCTCTGTGGGACTAACTTTTCCTTCAGTGGCTGCTGGTAGAAGGAAACCCTTCCCAGGCCTTTGTGAGGAACTCATTGGGGCCTGTCCTGACTAGGGTCGCCAGCTCCAGGTTGGGAAATTCCTGGATATTCTGTGTCTAAGGAAGCCAGTTAGCGCTTCAGAGCAGGGTCTGCCAGACCCAGGTTCTTGCTGTGGAAGCTGAGTGGGTGATTTCAGACCACTCATAGACTTTCAGCTTAACCTACCTCACGGGGTTGTTGTGCATATCAAAAGGGGGAGAGGAGAATGATGTACGCTGTGAAGACTGTACTTTTCCTCCCAGGGAACCATTGTTGCCGATCTCCAGGAGAGGGCTAGAGATCACTCAGAATTACAACTGCTTTCCAGATGGCAGAGATCAGTTCCCCTGGAGAAAATGGTGGACTCTGTGTCCTTATACCCTGCTGAGATGCCTCTCCTATGACAGCCAATGTGACGTAGCAGTCAGGGCTCCAGAGCATGGTAGAGGCTGCAGGTGTGTGTGTGGGGAGAGACGGAAAGATGAAGAGTGAGGGGTATTTATTTATTTCCACAACGGGCCTTATTCCTAGTCTCTAATAGTTCTGTGAGCCCCTCCATTTGTATATCAATAGAATTAATACTAATCACTGCACTCTCATCAGCAAAATAACTGTGCCAGTCAAATAACTATCTGTTGACTTCGCCACCTGTGTTTGCAGCTGGGTGGAAGCACGTGGGTTCCCCCCCCCCCCTTCCATAGGCCTCATATGCGGGCACACTGCTTAGCTGCTTTTGGGATGGGGGTCTGTAATACCATATTTGTTCTCAGTGCCTACCTTGTTATGACAATGGATTTCCAGCCCTTGCTGTCAGCTCCTTCAAGTTGTGGGTTTCTGCTCTCAGCCAAGCTTAACTTTCTTACTGTCTCCTCCAGTTTTGCAGTCAGTTTCTCATTTATTATCTCAAGACTGTTCTTTGCAATTCGCAGTTTCTCTCCATTCTCTACTTCCTACAGGCAATTAAAAAAAATGTATTAAAAATGAGTAGTTGTATAGATTAGATTCCTTGCTTTGCAGAAGAGAGCCTTAGGAGCAAGTCAAATAGGCAATTTTTAAGAAGGCATATCTATGTTTAAAAATATCTTTTTGCATTCTGGTAAGAGCCCAAATGCAATAAAAATCATAAATCTGTAGATTTATAAATTCATACCTTTTTCAGCTCTTTCCGTATTCTCTCATTTTCTGCAATGATTTTTTCTGTTCCTTTAGTCTTCAACTCATAACGCATACTCAGTTCATCTCCATGATGAAGTTTCAGTTTTTCCAATTCAGACTTAATTTATTTCACAGGTAAAACCAGAAAGGAATAGTGGTTATCAATTAAATAGCTGATACTGTGAGCATCTGCAAATTACATTGACCATTTAAGTACATTGCAAAGTTCACAGTGATTTTTGTCAACTGTAATACACCTATGTAGTATATAAAAGGTAAAGGTTCCCTTGCTCGAAAGCCAGTCGAATCCGACTCTAGGGTTGCGGTGCTCATCTCCGTTTCAAAGCCGAAGAGCCAGCGCTGTCCGAAGACGTTTCCGTGGTCATGTGGCCAGCATGACTAAACACCAAGGCGCACGGAACGCTGTTACCTTCCCACTTAAGTGGTACCTATTTATCTACTTGCAATTTCTTGCTTTCGAACTGCTAGGTTGGCAGGAGCTGGGACTAGAGACAGGAGCTCACCCCGTCTTGCGGCACCCGGTTCTTGAACTGCTGAACTACTGACCTTCCAGAGCCTACAGTTCAGCGTCTTAACCACTTGAGCCACCGCAGCTCCTATGTAGTATATAGTAATGTCCTTAAAATGAGGGGGGAAAAAATTGCACTGATGGGAAAGGGGATTTCCTTCAGTGCCTCCATCATTCACCACTGTTCCTGGGAGAACAGGGATCCATACACAATCTGCCTGGATAAAGACCCTTAAGGTCCAAAACATCTGCCACTACCCAGCACAGTATGTGTGTGTGTAATATTTATATATATACACACACTTTTACATCTATTCCCATATACCCTCTTTCCTTCTGTACCCTTTAAAAAATTTTAACTAAAAATAATAACCAAAATGTGTCACCCTGCAGTGTCACCCTGCAGCTAGTGGTTTTAAGATAACAACAATTAAAATTGCCACATCATCAGCTTTAAGTTATCACATCTTCAGCTTCTATCTAAATATTAGTGTAAGTCTATTCTATGCCCAGTACATATAGAGTCTTATCATTGATTAAATATGGTGATGTTAAATTTCAATATTTATATTAGTTCTTAAGATAGTTTTTCAACATTACTAATATTTTGCTCTGTAAATCTGGACCATACAGACTATATTTAAAAAAAAAGAATTGTAAAAAGAATAATGTGATATCTTGCATTTCTCAGATTTTCTCCCTAAACCAAATAAGCACATCAGTTATATCCATAATATGAATAAAAAGGTTTCCATTTCTCCTGAAATTCATTGGTCAGTCTTTTATTTATATAACTCGTTAGCTTCGCCATTACAGCATAGTCTGCTAGTCCGTCTTTCCAAATCTTGATAGTTGGATACTCTTCTGTTTTCTATTAGATTGTGACACATTTTGAAGATGGGTGTGTTATTATGAGCACTGTGGAGCCTTTCAAAGAGAAACAATTGTAGCAAGATGCCGGGGAGACATTATATCATGGCTGCCTGAGTAACTTACTAAATGTTGATTTTTCTGATTATACACCATCTTGGAGGCCAACTGCCAGAAAGAAGGATGGTGTACATTCTGCATTTATATCCTGACATTAAGCTAAATAATACTTATGGCTATGGAAATCCACTTTTATACTTTTCTTTTTTACCTTTAAACACTCATTTTCTTGTTCAAGGCTGCTGATTTTTTCACTGGAGACCATTCCAGGTGCTTTTTTTAGCTCTTCATTTTCTCTCTGGACCCTCTCAACAACCTTTTTCATCAAACCAATTGTTTTCTCTAACTCTGGAACAGTTTTGCCACTTCTTCCAGCCTTTATAAAAAAAAACATTTAAAAAAACCATTTCACAGAAGCCCTGTTCCATCACACAAACTGAACGATCCTAGCATGATGAATGTTTCTAATATCCAAGATGGACTTCTGTATTCTCTTTGCTTCAGCTGATACCATTTTCTCTGACTGGGGAGACCAGGTTGCTCACAAATTACTGATTTACTACAAACCTTATTCTTAGAGATATGGTGACAAAGGAGGTACAGGACATAAAATAACAACTAACAGCCTATTTGTATTACATAGACCATTAGTCTGATCCCAACAGTATCTTTTTCAGCGGCTAGTCAGATGTCCCTGGAAAGCTATCAAGCTTAGCAAGATGGAAATGACTTACAACTGCTTATCCTTACAGCATATCTCTCATTAACTGATACACCCAAGGGTTAACTTCAGGTTCTATACTAACAAGAGGAGAGCATTAGCTTGCTGGAATAATGAAGCTAAAGACAGTGGTGTATTAGCCTAGGGTAAACATTCTATACTAGGTATAAGAAAAAAAAGAGATGCCCCAGTAGCCAAATCCAGCCCCAGAGGTTTCCTCAGCATGATCCTTGACCCCAAAACACTCTCAGTTATGAACCTCAGCCAATTTTTCCTAAGACACTAAAAGATCATTGCTCACAGCAACAGTAATGCGTTGCTCCACATGGGATGAATGCCCAAAGGGTACTGGGCATGAAACTGACCTACAGAAATCAGGAGAGAGCAGTAAGCAGCATGGAACAGGGAACTTGTCTTGAATCATGGAAAGCTTCTATGATGCAGCTAATGAGAGATGCATAAGAACTCCCAGGGAGAAAAAGAAAGGCCCTAAGAAGCTTGCCTTCATCAATGCCAAGTATTCATTCTTCTTCATAAGCCAAGAGAAAGGTGATGTGAACTGATAAAATCTGTCAAAGCTTGTTACTGTCCATACCGGAGGAGAATAAAACTAACCCTGGACATCATATATGTACTAAGATAAGCCCAGAAACTAGCTCCACATTCTATATTAACAAGAAGATGATTTGCTTGATGGAATAAGCATCAACAAAGTTAAAGATACTTTAGGGTAAACATCATGGGTGATAGGCCAGTAGGGGTTTTGATTACATAATAGCAAAAGCCCTTCCCTACAGTGTGCAGGAAATTGATTTTAAAGGTCACTGGTGCTTCAAAAGCATGCAAACTGCTATTCCAAGTGTAAATAGGTCAAGTAGTAGCTGTGCAGAAGCTTTTGGGTATGCCCGAAAAAGCTCTATAGACTCTGGCCGCAGACAGACTTACTATCTAATAGAATTTCTGCATATTCTCTCTCTTTCTCTCTGTGCGTATATCCAATTATCAAACAAGCATAGCAACATTTTCACCACTTTTTCAAAATTAACAAAAAAGCTTCAAGGTGAATAGCTACATATTAGTTCAGTCTTATTCTTAAAATATATTTTACTCACCCCTCTGACACTGCCTAACTTCCGCTCAGATTCTGCCTTGTCTCTTTTGAGAAGCTCACACATTTCTTTTAAGTCAGCCACTTGATCCTAAATAGTGAAAATAACTGGTAACCTTATTCAGGTGAAAAATGCATTCCCAAAATGACACATTTTAACAATGAAATGAAAATTAAAAAAGATTATGTACAAACAGAAGAAAAAAATGTAATTGCTACTGCCACATTGACACCAACGCCAAGGTGTTCTCATGCAACAGAGAGCCGTGTGCCTATTGCTGACCCACCCTCGACAACCCCCAGCTTGCCGCTTACAGATATCCCATACTTTTTCTAGCTCGGTGAACTGGCTTATCATCTTTGTCACCTGCCACAGTCTATCAAATTTATATCCTTTAGCCACTGTTGTGTCTTTAATATGATCATATTCTGCATAGAGTGCTAGTGTTGTATATAATGCTATCAAAGTATGTGCAAAATATACAAGGCTACTGATGTTTTGAATTCATAGTTTACAAAGAGCATACTCCCACTAACAACTAGGCATTTTGAAAACAGCCAGCATTTTGAGAGGAAAACTGAAGGAGGAGGACTAGACAGTAACAGAAGAATGGTTATAGATGCTATTGCTAATACTTGTCACTAATACATTTTAGTATACAAGCAAATGCTCCAGTCCAGAGACAAAGCCACATACTACAAACAGGCTTGTACACACAAATGACAATCCATGAGAATGAATCAGACAGGCATCCAATACCCATTGGAATGGGGAAGCTGTCTGTTAGCACTGCGTTTATTGGCTGTGGGATATACAGTATATCCAAATGTATTTTCATCATTTAGATATGGATCCACATCAGAATATACCCATTGAATGTCACTGTCTCTCTCTCAGTGTCAATTTTACAAGGAAGCGCCCCCCCCGCCAATCCATTTTAAAAGCTAATATGACACATAATGTAATAATTCAAAGCAGAAGGATTAAATGATATTTTGGAAGATTTGCTACATTCATGCTTTGGAGCTATTTTCTAATTTTGTATTTGCCTTTGGATGGGATCCAGTGACTTCCTTCTACTAAATGAAAACACTTCTGCTGGTGGAAGGCATTTTCCTACAGCAGAAGGTCTCATTCCCATGATAGAAAGGCTCCTTACTTAGCAGAAGGCAGTCATTTATCCCAGCCCATTAAGTACAAAAGTATACCTTTAATCTTGGCAAGTCTTTATTGGCTTGTTCTAGCTGGAATCGTAATTCCATGTTTTCAGAAGACAATTTTATATTCTCCTTCTGAAGCTCTTGTTCCTTTTGGCATAGATCATCTGATCCCAGTCCTGAAGTCTTAGTAAGGACAGAAGGAGCACGGTGAAATTACCATATTAAAATGTAAAATATTAATATTATTTCATCAAAGATCGCAAAAATTGTCAACATTTTCAGGTACAACATTTTCTTTTTACAAATAAAAGAGTCTACTTTTGCCTGCACAATCTCAATAAATTCATTTGGAACTTAACTGGATTTCATTAGAAGGACAGTAAGACACAAGGAGGGGAAAACAAACTTGACCCAAAAACTGGAATCAAGAACCACAACGGTCAATATTAAAAACCTAGTGTAAACTTATAATATACAAAAATACACGTATTTATAGAAAGGCAGTTAAAAACAAATAAGGGCCCAATGAAAGCCTCGTTACAAAGTTACACACAAGGTTATACACAGGCCCACCAGCAGCGTGGCAGCAGACACAGACATCCATCCACATCAAATCCACATCAATCCATCTACACATCAAATCAATTTAACACAGGAACAGCAAAACAAATACTAAACTGTCATAATAAATTCACACTGCACACCAGTCCACCTGTTCAATCAAGCCAAAGTAAATTTTAAGAGCATGAATTCAAACGAGTTTTCTGGTCTTCAAACATTCAATAAGCTGGAAATTACCAGCCTGGACTTGTTCCAATGCCAAGAAGCATTCCTTTTCAGACAGATGCCGCTTCTATGCTCCCCAATCCTGGTCTTAATTGGTCTAGATGTATACCCCACATAGATAAGATCACATTTATATACAATTGCATATATAAGGTTCCTTGAGTTGCAGTTAAAAATGCTTTAATGGAGTACTTTCTTTGCTTAAGAGAGTCACAGCAAAAATCTGTGGGAAGCATCAGGCCACAAACAGAACACCTCCCACATGGAAAATTGCCAGCTGGTATACTCCTTCCATCCACTCCACTCTGTTTTGCAGGGGATGATTTAAACTGCTTCTATATATATTTTGTTAAAGTTCCTATGCTTCCCACCATATAGCCAGGTAGTCCAGAAAGTGAACAGAAAACCGTAAATTGCCATCTGGGATTTTATTCTGGTTTTATTTCTTATTAACTGTATTGAATGTTAAAATTTGTATTCTGTTTTACAGCATTATGTCTCTCCTGTACTCTCATCTCCTGTAATAAATTGAACAAATAATAATAATAATAATGAGGAGGAGGAGGAGGAGAATTTTGTTTCTCAGCAGACAAGCATGTGTCTGCTGCCTCACTGCTGGTGGGCCTGTGTGTAACCATGACGAAGTATTCCTTTGGGATTGCATCAGCCATGACTAAGCATTTTACTAGGATTGCATCATCCAGCACCAAACTATAAAAGTTAACCACACCTACTCAATACCACTGCTATTTGTTTGAGGACACTCTAGCTCTGAGCCAGGGGTCATTTTGTAGAAAAAGAGCTAGGGGAACTCATTAGCATAACTCATTAGCATATGCCACACCCGGCGGTGGACCTGCAAGGCCGGCGGAAGTGCGAGGAAGCCCCGCCAAGGCCCTCCCTGGCCCCAGGCAGGCAGGGGTGGTTCCCCCCCATTCCCCCCCCCCGAAATAGGACACTCTAGCTCTGACTAAGATAGTCACATAGGTGCTTTCTGGACCAGAACTGGAAAGTAATTTTTACATTATTGATTTTTTCAGTTTCAGCTATTATATTGGCTTTTATTTACTGCACTAGCTTTTAAAATATATTTTATTTTTTAGATGTTCTAATTCAGCAGCTGTGTATTTGGCACCAGACACATGACTCTCATCTTTAGAGGCCTCATAAACATCCTTGTCGTGTGTCTATTGATCATACTGCTTAAGTAATATAGCCATTTTTACTACACTGTAAGTTAAAAAACATTTGATTATTCATATTCAATTTTCTTTTTTCTACAGCTTTCCTTTTTTGGTCTAGTATTAACCTATTGGTTATTTTATTGTAATATGTAATATTGTAACATGTGTACCTCAAACTGTGTGACCTTTGAAGAAGGCCCCCAATAGGGTGGAAACTCGTCAGGTCACTTGTATTAGCCTTTGTGTTCAGGCCAGTTTAACTTTGTAACGAGGCTTTCATTGAGCCTTTATTTGTTTTTAGCTGCCCTTCTAATAAATACATGTATTTTTGTATATTATAAGTTTAGGTTTTTCATACTGGCCCTTTATCAGACTTCTTTCATTAGAAGGACAATAGCAAATCATTCTACATGAGTATATTAAGAAAATGCTTCCTGCACCAAAGACAGAACCGTGCACATGTGTGTGTTGAGGGAACAGACTACTCAGGGGAGTAGAAACTACACACAGTATTACTTGCAAGTAGACAACTTGATATTGTGATAAACTGTTAAAAAAACAAACAGCAAAAATAGATTTATATGATGAGAAAATCTCACAATTAGTGGTAGAAGATAGCAGCTAGCTGCCTACACTGACTGAAGCACGCTTCCATGGACAGAGGAGGGGAGGTAATTTTCACTAATCCCCCCCCCCCGTCACTGGAGAACCACCACTTTGCTTTCTGTGTTGTTCATGAGGGTACTCTGACCCCCAGGAGCAGAATTTCAGGTGGCTGCAGGAGGGAAAAGATCAGAAGTCCCATTTCATTAGCTTCACATTCCGCAAGGTACATTGGGTATGAGCCACTAAGATATAAGCTGGAACATTTATTTCTAATACACAGTCCTACCTTTTAATACCTACTGTCATACATCTGGAACAATATGTGCATTGTAGTACTAGAAGTCTATTGTATTATAAGCAAAAAGGTTTTGACAGTTACAAAAATAGGTCTTGCAGGTTGGTAAGCTGTATTAGGAAATGACAGGGTAACAACAGCGCTAAGGAATCACCAGGTTACCAGTCAGGATTAGCTATACAAAGGAACACTGAAAAGCAGGGGATGGAGGAGCTGAAGTGTCAAACCTGAAGAACTTCACAAAGCTCTGTGGCAGATCCAGCCCTCTCTTGATCTGTCTGAGGGCCCTCATTAGCCTCTTCTACCACCATTTCACTGGCATTTTTTTCAGTTCCTGCGTCAGATTCATTGTGTGGAACAGCATCCACCTCAGAGTCAGACTGAGTGTTGCTCTTTCTATCAGAACAAGATTCGGGTCTGCTTCCTTCTTCAGCATTATCTGGCTTTTCTTCCTTATTTATTTCACATTCTTGGTCAGTTTTCTCTTCTTCATGTTCTTGGGCCATATCTTTTTCAGCATTCTCTTCAGTTGAACTCATTTTCAGAGAGCTGCTCTTCTTGCCTTCTGATCCTGCCTCTAAATCGTTCAGCTTTCCCTCTTTTTCAGATTGCTCCTCGGGAACTATAGCAACATCTTCAGCAGCCTGATGGGATTCCTCAGCAATGTATGTCCCCTCATCAACTCCATCAACAATTGTATTCATACTAACAAAAACATGATGACTTAACTTGGCCTTACTTAGTAGAGTTTTCTTAGGTGGAAAGTTCAAATGTTTTTGCTTAGTGAATCTGTTAGCAGTAAAGGCAGAGTTAGGAACTGCAACTGTGTCACCTGGAGAACTCTAGTACAGATGGAAGATAGCATGAAAGAAAAGCACTCAATTGGAATGGAGGAAAAAAAGGGTAAAAGCCTTTACACATTAATAAACAGCTTTAAAGGGGATTAGACAGATTCATGGAGGATCAGTGGCTACCAGCCATGGTGGCTCAAAGGAACGTCTACATTCAGACGCTTACTGCCTCTGAATACCAGTGCCACGAAGCAACATCAGGAGAAAGCCTCAGCCTCTATGCCCTGTTGATGGACTTCCAGAGGAACTGGTTAGCCACTGTTTGAGACAGGATGCTGGACAACTACACTGATCCAGCAAGGCTCTTATATTCTTAATGGGACCTCATTCACAGACTGTAAGCTTGGGCTAGAAAAAGAAATTCCATAATCAGGATGACATATATTCCTGTTTCTCACTGGTTGGAAACAACATAAACTCATCCTGGGTTCACTACCTTACCCTCAGCTCATCTTCACTTGACTCACTGGTCCTTAAACATAGCTCTTATATTCAAAGCATAAAAATTGAATTCTATTTCTAACACTAGTCAAACATTCTGTTTCCAACAATATCTGGCCAGCTCCTCCACTAAACTGATAAGCAAGGCATCTAAGTAGAAGCCCTCTTTTATAATTTCTCCCTAGCTTTTGTTATGCAGAGGTATACTGCTCCTGAACTGGAACAGTTAGCTTTCATGGCTAACAGCAGTTCACAAATGTGTCCTCCATTAATCTAATTCTTTTTTAAAAACAATATCACATAAGTTATCAACCATCACTGCATCTTGCAGCAACAAATTCCACGAATGGTGATTTGTGTCGACCGTAAAATTACTGGTGCATTGATTATTTTAATAGAGTGAAGTTCTAGAATTTTCAGAGCTGAAGAAAAAAAATCACCTCTATTTTCTCCAAAATGCTCATTATTTTATAAATAATTCATGCTCCCCCTAAGTTGTATTTTTAAAAACAAATTTAAAAAGTCCAAAACGATTAGAATACCTTTGCTAGTAATTCACACCAATAAATTTGCCTTTTCAGTGTTACTAATTTAATATTCCTGGTTTCAGCAATTACTTTACCAAATTCAAACTTCATAATCTGTATCAAACTAAAATACTACTTTGTGCAATCAGTCCCTTTTCAGACCAAATTCTTCCTGTTCTATGTGAGATAAGATCAGAAATCAATTTGTGGCTTGTGTACTTTCTCCCCATCTGCTCAAGACAGATAGTGGGGGTACTGGTGGTAGAAAATGCCAACTAACAACAATCAACAGTAAACATACATACAAATACAGTAGAAATAATGGAATGTACTGATGTGGTAGTTTAAATTGGGCTCTTCGCAAATTCCAGCTGAGGCATTTGTTAGCAGCTTTCACTTTGAACAGCAGGTTTACCTCCTACTATAGTAGATTACCTCCTACTAAATAGATTAAGCTACATGCCCGCTTTGTAAAAATTTCTAGTGGCTTCCCATTAGAATCAACTGATGTGGAGAAGCTTAACAGTTTTTCACTTGAGAAGTGTCTTTTAGGACACAATGAGGGACGTAATACATCCGGGACCTCATGATCTATACAAACAGATCTGGAAAGTTACACTGGACGTTTTTGTCTCTCCCTTATTTCTGACAGAGTTTATAGTTGTTTTTCATTGTAATATGTTTTGAATTAAATGTACACTAGTATGAGTTGAACTTAACAACTGTATTCGTATGTATATTTACTATCAAGTAGAATCCACCTTATGGCAACCCCGTAGAGCTTCCAAAGCAAGAGATAAACAGAGGTGGTTTGCCATTGCCTGTCTCTGCACAGCAACCTGGGACTTCCTTATTGGTCTCCTGTCCAAGTACTATCCAGGGGCGACCCTGCTTAGATTCTGAGCTCTTACAAGATCAGGCTAGCCTGGACCATCCAGGACAGGACAGTGGGGTAATACCATGTCTATTTGAACATGAAATCTTTTCATTATAAAACCAGTAGCTACTGAAATTTTTGGGCTCCAAACTAAGAGCATGCAGCCAGTGTTCCCTCTAAGCTGAGTTAGTGTGAGCTAGCTCAAAGTTTTTTAGCCTCCAGCTCACACATTTGTGTCTTAGCTCAGGAAGAATGGCTTCAGAGCAAACTAATTTATGCAGTAGCCAAATCGCTCACTCACAACTTTAATGCCAGTAGCTCACAAAGTAGAATTTTTGCTCACAAGACTCCTCAGCTTAGAGGGAGCATTGCATGCAGCATCTACACAGATAGCAGAATGTTACAGTCAAGACTGCCAACAAAATGGGAGTAAGAAAAAGAAACAAAAGAGAAACAGAGGGTGTACAACACAGATTTCATGTTATGTATGTGGATGTACAATTTAGTTGTACAAGAAATTAAAAAAAAAATGCAACTTACTGAAGGCCTTGAAAGAGTCTCTCTGGAAAACTGTCTTTCCAAAACATGAAGTTTTTCTTGCAGGTATCGGTTTTTTAAGTGTAATTCTTCCACAACAGAATCACGAGGTACAGCATACTGTGTCCTAGACAGAAGAGTAAATAAATGTTATTACTGAATAACAAAGCAATATAGAGTACTTAGGCATACTAACCCCACATTCCTTTTACATTAAATAGTGTAGTTGATGAAAGATGACCTTTTTTGCAGAATGCATAAAGAAATAGCTCTAAAACTTTTGTGCATTTAGTTACTGTCACCTGCACATTAGCAAACAGTGTCCCCAAAGTACAGCCAGTTACGAACAATGGGTGTATAACCCGCCACTGTAATTTTCAAGTTCAAGTATATTGAACCTGAAAAATATTGGTATTTCCCAATATTCCCAAATCCCAATACCGGTATGGCATTCAGATTTAGTGGTCCCTTTAAATGCCTTCTCCAAGTCACACAATTCCATGGCAAGAGTCCAAAGGCATTTAAAGGGCTCGCAGTCCCTTTTACACACCTTCTCCAAGCAGTGAGTTCACCCAGAAGGTATTTAAAAGGGACTGCGAGCCCCTTAAACGCCTTCTGGGTGAACTCACCATGAAGTTGCACAACTTGGAGAAGGCATTTAAAGGGACCGCAATTCCTTTAAATGCCCTTTAAGTTCGGCTATCTGGTAGAATCCCGAATATTTTTTGGTGGGGCTTGGGGGGGGAGGGGCTTGGCCGTTTCTGATAGCTGAAATTGAGCCCCACTTGGTAACTGGCTTTAAAAATACTGGTAAGGTATTTGGGGGGTATTTTTTCAGCTTGGTTTATGCCAAATGAACACCCCTATTACCAACTTGTCTGTTAACCAAACAGAACCTGGGACAGAAGACAAACATTTAATTCACGGTTCTAACTGAGCTGCCAAACTCATCTTCTACTGATATTGAGTATATCATATCACATAGCTAATCTAAAAACCTATATTCAGAATGTGTGATTGCCTACTTCATTCAGTAACAAGAGTGTACATTAAGTCCTTGTATCTTATTATAATATATCCACCTATTAAAAAACATACCCTTTTTGTAAGACATCCTCATCTCTCCCTTATAATAAAAGAGTTTTGGGTGCCAAAATTCTAAAATGCGCCCCGTTAGTGTATGGGTGATAAAACTGTCAATTATTATAAGGGAGAGATGGGGACCAATGAGAAGGAGAAACCCGGTCCCGCCCACGCCATCACTGCCCCGAATAACCACCTCCAGTTTGAGGAGGACTACGAGGCCGCCACTTCGCTTAAAGTAGGCTGGCTCCGGCAGTCCCCGGCCGGCGAGAGAAGGCCGCGGCCTCCTCTCGGCCGCTTTGCCCCCTCCAAGCCAGTCCCCGGCCGGCGAG